TGCTGTGAGATCACAGCTCACAGTAACCTCCAACTCCTAGGCTCAAGTGAGTCTCCTGCCTCAGCCTCCCAAGTAGCTGGGACCACAGGTGCCCGCCACAATGTCTGGCTATTTTTTGGTTGCAGCTGTCATTGTTGTTTGGTGGGCCCAGGCTGGATTTGAACCCGCTACCTTAGGTGTATGTGGCTGGTGCCTTAGCCACTTGAGCCATAGGCGCCAAGCCAGAACATCTGAATTTTTTCTCTGAAAGATTCATTACATGATATCCATAATAATGAATTCTTTATCTCCTTTTTTCCTCGTACCTCTTAGGAATATGTTGGGCTGAAGATAAGACAAAATTCACAGTGGCTTAACTAAGTGAGGCATTCTCAAGCTACAGGAAGTCTAGAGGTAGACAGATCTGGGCTCACCATCATTATTCAGGATCCAATCTTCTGTTTTCTGATTCAGTAGTCTTGGTGTGAAGCTTTATCTTCATGGCTCATTGCTGTCTCTCCAGGCATCATGTTTCAGGAGGAAGAAGAGTACGTATCAGCCAGATCTTTCTCTTTTAAAGAGCATTTGTATAAATCCCAACTTGGGACTGCCATTTATATCTTCCAGATAGAACCGAGTCGCCGGGCTATCTCTCTACAAAGGTATCTGAAAAAAATGATTGTTTTCTTCTTCCCAAACTCTGTAATAAAGAAAAGCAAAATTCAGGTGTTGTCAATGTGATAATATTAAGAGGTGGGGCCTTTGAGAGGTGATTGGGTTATGAAGGTTCCTGCCTCATGAATGGAATTAAGGCCCTTATAAAAGATATTTTGCACACCATTATAGTCTCTTGCCCTTCTACTGTCTGCCATGTGAGGACACAGGGTTCCTCCTCTCTGTAGGACCTAGAGTTTAAGACACCATCTTGAAAGCAGAGATTGGGGCCTCAGCAGACAACAAACCTACTGGAACCTTGACCCTGGACTTCCCAGCCTCTAGAACTGTGAAAATAAATTTCTGTTCTTTATAAATTATGCACCCTCAGGTATTCTGTCATAGGAGCACTGGACCAAGCTAGGGACGGTTGTCCTTAACAGGGCCCATCCTCTCTACACTGTCTTATGTATCTCAAGGGCATTTTTCTTTGGTCTATCTTAGTAGTTGCAAAACCATCTGTTATGCAGTGGTATATAATACTGCTTACCTGACAATACACAGCACGTTCTCTCTGTTACATGGATAATACAATAAAATTCCACTATAACACGATCATTGGGGTTCAAAAGACCCAATAACATAAAACATGGGATTATTGTCAGGTTGAAAAATAAATGTCTGGGGCAAAACCAGGTTGGGAAATATATATACATATATATATATTTTTTTTAATTACAGATAGTTTTTTAAACAGTTTCATTGACGTATAATTAAGGTGACCAGATTTTAACATTGGTAAAGCAGGACACCATTGATCGTGGTGGGGTGGGGGTTGGGCGGGGGTGTGGGGCAGAGGAGGGGTGTGTTCTTGATTAAAAATTTGGTCTATATAGAGCAACAAAAATTTTCATAGAATGCAAAAATAATATTGTAATATATTTTTTAAATTTCAACATAAGTACAATTTACAAATGTAATACATTAAAAGAAATTATGTATAGGGTGGTGCCTGTGGTTCAAAGGAGTAGGGCGCTGGTCCACCTGGGCAACCTTGCCCATGAGGGGAGTAGGGAGTTTACATTAGCCTTTTCATTTCCAAATGAAGTTACATTAACCTCTTCATTCCTAAATGGAGTTACATTAACCTTTTCAGCAGCCAAAAAATGTATATTCCCTTCCCGTTGCCCTGCCCTTCCGTAGATTGTTGGGCATTCTTTCCAAAAATTAGGACTTTTTTAAAACACCGCGGGACATGAGACAAATTGTTAAAAATCAGGACTGTCCTGCCAAAAGGTATAATTTAAATGCCATAAAATTCAGTTTTAAGTGTACAACTCAGCGATTTAGAGAGCCATGCAATCATCACCACAATCTAATTTTTGATGACATCCATCACCCCCTAAAAATCTCTCCAGGTCATTTGTTATCACAAATGGCAAAAACTGGCTCGGCACCTGTGGTTCAAGAGGCTAAGGCGCCAGCCACATACACCTGAGCTGGCGGGTTCAAATCCAGACTGGGCCCACCAAACAACAATGATGGCTGCAACCAAAAAATAGCCAGGCCTTGTGGCAGGCGCCTGTGGCAGGAGACTCGCTTGAGCCCAGGAGTTGGAGGTTGTTGTGAGCTGTGAGACCACAGCACTCTACCCAGGGGGACAGCTTGAAGCTCTGTCTCAAACAAACAAACAAACAAAACAAATGTCAAAAACTCATGCTGAGTTTCAAGGGCCCCAATCCAATATCTTTGGCTGTGGTTTGGCGCCACCTTCTGGTGGCTATCCTTCCACCCAACTGTGTAGCTGAGTTTCTGAGACCAGGCAAGGTTGCCCAGGAATCTCCCCGTCAGTAGGCAACTATTTAATCAGTCTGTTCTGAAGAGACAGAACCAGCATGATATGGTACTAATAAGCACCATCCTCTATCTTTTGGTTTGTTGAAGGGCTTGGCTGCTGTTTCTCTGACCTGCCTAGGAGAGGGGTCAATATCTCTATGGGTTTTTCCTTGACCTAGAAGTCTCTGATATCTTCCAGAGCTTTTCTGGTCACTCTCAGATAATGAAAAGTTGTGAGGTTACTTTCATCACAATTAGAGCCTCATTTCTGTAATTAAACTGTCAAGTCCATTGTAATTCACAACTTTAACCGCAATTAGAGCTTCATCCTTCTGAGCTTGGCCTAAAAGCCAGAGCCTACAATGGGAAGGAAGGAGAGTGTGATCAGACTGTTCTCTGCTCTCTCCTCTCACATAAGCTGTCCTTTCTAACCCTTAGGAAGGGATAAAGTCTACAGGGTGAGAGGAGATGCAGCTTTGTCTGGCTGGTGATGGGGTGATCCAATTCTGCTGCTCTCTTGCTCAGTCATGCTCAAGGTTGATTCTTCCTCTCAGAGGGTACTTTTGGGGGATATTATGAAGATTGTCCCACTGGCATCCTCACATGAGGTGGGTGATATTTATCCCCAGTTAAAAGGTATGGATACCCTAGGGTTCTTTAGTAGTCTGCCTGCCGAATCATTTAGCTCCTCTTGGTGAGCACACATTCTCTTTGAAGAAGGCGTCTAGTCTATTCTCCACAGGTCCACTTATCCCTTGGGGAGGGGTAAAGTCACACATCTCCCCACTCCAGTTGCAGGAAATGCAGTTAGCTCCCCCAGCAGCCTTCTGCCGGTCTCCTTCCCTGCCCTGTCTCAACAGGTCCTCCTAGGACTGCTTCCCAGAGTCCTAGGGAAGCAGTCCTTAAATTTTCCAAACTCTGAGAACAAAAGTTCTGAGATGTTCCTCTGGAAACCTATTTCTACCTTAAGGGAGGGAAAATGCCACTGAACTTCAACTCTTCCCAGACAAATGTTTTCACTTAACTCATACCACCTTCATACTTTTATGGTGGGTGTTGGCTAAAGGCAAAATCAGATTTCAGATTTCCGTTTTCCAAGTCCTGCAAACTATGTGATGCTGTATCTCTCTTGGGAATGTGGGGGTATTTCCTAACCATTCAGAAACTGCTATGTTGCATACCTCTTAGGACCATTATTCATATAAATGTGATGAGAATATAGACTATAATGTGAATGGTGCCCCCCCCCAGAAGTGTGGTTCTGCAGGGCTGATGAATTCTCCTTGGCTTTTGAATTCTGTTGCATGTAATAGTAATAATAGAGCCAGTACTTACATATTGTTACCATGTGCTATGCACTGTTTGAAGTGCTTTAGGTGTTTTATTTAATCCTCATAACAGTCGTATGACAAAGATACTTCTATTATCCCTGTTTAATAGATGAGTAAATTGAAGCCTGGAGAAGTTTCATGACTTGTTCAAGGTTTATACAGCAAGCAAGTGGCAGAACTAGAATTCAAACTCAGAGGTAATGGCTCTCAAATTTGCAGTTCTAATCCTATCCTACACATCCTGTCAGAGGGTTTCATTTTTCTCCCTGACATTCTGGGGCAGGCTACAGATGCATATGGGATGGGCCCAGGAGTGTGTGGTTTTATTTTTTTTATTATTTTTATTTATTTATTTATTTATTTATTTTTTTGAGACGGAGCCTCAAGCTGTCCCCCTGGGTAGAGTGCCATGGCATCACGCTCACAGCAACCTCCAACTCCTGGGCTCAAGCGAGTCTCCTG